AAAAAAAAAAACCCCTTAAATGCGCTTGAATAAGAAAAGCAGAAAAGACTGTGAAGAAAAAATCACCAAATTTAATAATTTCTTCAGCGAGCAATGGTAAATATTCTTCATTAAAATCTATTAGCATATTGTAAAAAGAAGACCAAGCCTAAGAACATCTGTGAACTTTCCACAGATTTTTTAGGCTTGATCTATAACTTCCTACAGTATGAGACAAAAGTCCGAGACCTCCAGTCACATACTATAAGGAAAGTTTCCAAAAACCATAGAAAAAAGGCTGCAAAACCTCTCATGCACTGTAATAAGTGTCTGAAACCTCCAACATACTACAAAAATCAGAAATATGCTGGTATCATTCAAAAACATAGTAAAACCGTTCGCCGCCTTCAGACTTATTTCCCCACTTGCATTTATAAAGGCGCATCAAAAACGCGCTTTAAATTCAATTCAAAAATCTTAGACACAATAAATTTTTAGAAAACTGTGCTTACCTAGCAACCATTTGACGTAAAAGTATGGGGGAACCGAATGTCAAAGCATCCATATCCTCGGAAACCGTAGCAAATACTTTCCCGGCTTTTGCAAGCGCGGCACACTGTGCTTCCGCTTCACATGGAGCATTCACCACTGGCACTCCCATTAGAGTAAGCAATCGCCTTGCTTCTTCGTTGTGTTCTTTTGTGACCTCAAAGATGGCAAAAATTAAAAATGTCATCACCCGCAAACAACTTCTACCCTCAGATTCCACGTTAGCGCAGATATTTCAGTGTTTTTATATCGACCCATCTGCAAATGCAATTCAGAAAGACTGCTCAAGTACAAATCAGCGCGACCTTGCCAACATATTTTTATGCATTCGATGTTATTGACAAAATAGTTTTGTTACTGCACACCTATTATGCAGTAACATGACCATTTGACAAACGGTTTGTTCCACATTAACAACCCAACTATCTTGCCCGCCACCATTCTCCAACAAATTCTATTCTTCCAGTCTTAAACCATATGGAATTCAGCTGTGTTAAATTTCCTTCGGTTTGCACAGTTCTTTATATATTATTCTTCGGCCTACCTATGGCTGCAAATTACCTCGCACATCTACCACAACCCCGACATTCCTGCTTGGGATGACTAATTTTGACTGGGCTTCTATGCCGCTCTTTCATTCCTTTCTATTTGAAAAAAATCGCTCAAAGTCATTTTTCCTATCACAGTATCGATCCAAAAGTTTCCATTTCGAGAAATTTGCATCCCAGACTACTGTCTACTCTTCCTATTACGAAAACCACATCAATAAGAGCGTTTCTTCAAATTTATTTCTGCTTATCTTATTCGACATTTGGATTAACACCTCTCCTTATCTCTCCTTACCCCCATAAAACAGCAGCTTCTTTTTTTCACCTACTAAATAGTAGCCTCTTGCTCCAACGGCCTCAAATACGCGTCCCCAAATTTTAATGAAAACACGAATGACTGATTCTTTTCACCGGTAACTCAAAGTCTCCTACGGCAAAGTATGGCATGACCAAAAAAAAAA